CAGCAACACTCAAGAAGCTCTATTAGGAATTGAAACTAATAATATCAGAGAGCAAATTATATTATTACAGAAAGTACTACACTTACCTTTTGTCATTTTTGATAACCAAAATTTAGATAAGAAAACATCTTTACAACAAATTGAACAACAAATAAACACTTTTAATAAGCTTACGAGCACATGTTATAAAACTATTAATAATGTTGACATTACATCTTATGCATCAGAGTTATATAGAAGAGTGTCTTTAAGAACTCTTTATGAATTTGAACAAGCTTATAATTACTTAAAACAATAGATAATAAAGTTTGCAGTTAGACAAAAAGAAATAAAAGTAATATCTCAAGTTAATGCTCTTCTTTTAAAAAGAATTTTAATTTATTATTTATTGAATATTAATCAAAAAAAATCTAATTCACAAGTTCAACAAATTATTGATGAAACAAATAAAAAAACAATTGAATCTGATGAAGTAATAATTCTAATGCCTGGATTTTCTGAAAATATATCAGCTAGAAAACTTCAAACATTTACAACTTCTAAGCTATGGTTAGTTGAGTTATTAGAAACACTTACTGTATTTTCACGTAATAACGCTCATGAGCGTTAATTCGAAAATCGTACACCCTAAAAATACTATAGATGGTTTCGAAATAACGCTCATGCACGTCCTGAAATAATGTGCACCCATATAAGATAATCATATAAAATGATTAAATATTTGGCTATAAATATCAATATTCTGATTTTAGGCGCAAAATAGCTACCAGTAGTAATAAAAATTTTGATAAGTACTATATGTTATTAAAGTTGATATATAATTATCGATATTGAAAATTTATTATATATTTATTATAAAACAATAATTGAATGTCTTATATTCTTTAACTTCAATTTTACCAGCACTTTTATATAAATAAATGCTTTATTTACATTCATATTTTCACCTCCAATTCTAGTTTCAATGGATTTTAATAATAGAAGCTTTACGTTCATCTTTTTAACTTTAATTTCACCATCTCTCATTTAAAAAGAATAATAATGTTCATATTTTCAATGCCAATACTCCATTTAATGTATGCCTTATTTCATCTTTTCAACTCTGGCTTCACCAAGATTTTCTATTTTAGAAGATTAATTAACGCTAATTCAATTGACATTTTCTATTTTGGGATACAATAATTAATGTCTTACATTCATCCTTTTTGATCCCAATTTCACTAACTTTGCTAACCCAATAAATCGATGAAGAATTATTCTTTGTGGTTACTAGAATTATCAGGTTTAGAAAATTAATAAAATTATATTAATTCTAGTTTACTAATTTCCTCCACCAATTTTGGTTGGTTCTACTAATTATTCACTATCTGTGCTGATCCATTTTATAGTACTCCGATAATGAGTGGTGAAGAAAATTAGTAAACCCTATTAATTTTCTCACAGAATTGATAATAAATACTTCTGTACATTAATCTTTCAATCTTAATTCCACTAATGCTCATTATTTCAATTTAAATTCCACTAGCATTTTCAATTTCAAAAAAAAAAAGGTTAATCTCTTTTAAATTCAATTTCACAAAAAATTTTCTTTTAAATAAACTTACTAGGGCTCTGCAAGTGCTGGGTACGTACTATTAAAAATGGTGCCTGGGCCTGCCTGGCACTATGTTTTAATAGTGCCCGTGCCTGGCACTTGCAGAGCCCTAAAACTTACATTTTTTGACTCCAATTTAACAATGCATATTTGCGATTCTTCATATTTTCTCATCATGCTCTATAAAGTTTCGTATATATCAATTAAAATTAATAATTTAAGGGCCTACTAATGTCGTAATATGCCAGTAAGAGTTAGATCTCCAATTGGGTTTAAAAATATTTTCAGGTTGACCACTAATTAATTGCAATTTCTAAGATCCACAGATCACTGAGTTGCAGCTAGGTTACTATCGCAAAATATCATAATACGTCCATCAGAAGCTTTTAATCTAAGCAATCAATAGAATAAACTTCTATATTTAAAACAATGAATCGTTAAATGACACATTTAATGACACACTTAATACCACCAAGACAGAACAGCTGACAGGAGTTGGACCAGATACGCTCTGATAAATGTCCATTTAGATTGTTAGTTGCAAAGACATAAAGAAATTATATTCATTCATTATATACCATATTTGAGCATGTATCGGATTTTGCATTATATAATGATGGCTACAAGGCATTAACGAATAAAGGTTGGGCTTTTATGATATAGAGCCTTAGCATAATCACAACACATAAATGAATTTTTTCAGACGTTTGGTAATCAGTTAACTAAGTAAAAGTGATTATGGTATTGTTAATTAATTTATTTTAAGGATTTCTATAATTAAAGAAAAAACAAAGAGAATTTACCTAAAATTTTAACCAAATCTTAATCAACAGTAAATTATGATGTAACTCACGACCTCCATAGCAAAATGATTATCAATCATTATTATAGCACAGTAAACCTATAAGTTATGCTAATCTTCTAATCTACCTATTTATTTTATAATATTAAATATGCTAACTGGATTTAATATATTATGCTACTGCAAAACATCTAATTGATAATTTTTTATAAGTTGTTTCATTAATTAAAAATTCAATCGAGAAAAAAAAATAATTAATCGCCTTACCTTTACAAATTATCAAGGTCAGTTAGAATCTAGATAAGTGACTAACGATATTGAGTTATTAAAGAAAAAATTTATACGATATAAATGTAAATTGCTCTAGAATTTATTTATTTATTTATCGATCAATTGCTACCAACTAATCAGTTTCCATTACCACATATCTTTGTAGGCATCTATATTCTAAGTATTTTCATTATAATAATTCAGTTCATCATTTATTTCATAATCATCTAACACACCATCGTCTAGCTTATAATCTTCTGGCTCACCGTCGTCCAGCTCATCATCATTTGGCTCATCATCATCTGGTTCACTATTGTCCAGTTCATCATCTGGTTCACCATTATTATGATTTGACGCTTCTTCGTCATCAATTGGCAATTCATCCAGGCAGTTTTCGACAATAGCTTTGAGGTGGTGCGACATTTTATCATCTTCGCTATCATCAGAATTAAGTGTAAGACCCGATGCTTCGAAAGATTTGACTAAAAGATTTGGGCTAATTTCTTTTCATGTCTCCGACACCCATTCACAGACCAGCTCATATGAAGCTTTTTTTTGGTTTTCTTTCTTAGTATACATTTTTTTTCCTTTATCCATCCATTCATCCTACCTTTTTCTCATTCCACTTTTAAAAGGTTTGTTTACAGAGACGTCCAGTGGCTGCAAAATACTAGTGGTTCTACTGGGTATTTCTAACACCTCCAAGCCTTCTGCATTCAATGCATTAATTACTTCATCATGATTATAGCTACGATGTGCATCAACAAAAATAATACCTTTGCTTTTAAAAAATCCATTCGGCCTGGCTCTAATAACTTGTGGAATGTATGTGGAGATCATTAAATCTCTAGTCATATTTGCACAAAGTGCCGTTGTTATTATAATATCTTGTGGGAATTTGCCTTTTGGTTTTTTTTTCAATTTAAAAATCACTGTAGGTGGGAGTTTCCCCCCAGCCACCATGTAACCCAAAACTACTGTAAATTGTAACTTTTCATTGCCTGTGGTCTTAACCGGTACCTCACGAGCACCTTTGAAATCGATTGTCGAGTCCCGTGGCATGTTAAACCACATAGGCATTTTGTCGAAAGATAAAATATAGTTTTTTTCAATCACATGTGTTTTTTCACATGAAGTTTTAAGAAAATTTTTAATGATTACAGGCTTATCCTCAGGGATTTTTTGTGCTATCTGAGTTCAGGCACGTTTTACTAAATTATGTCATTGTTTGAAGCGTTCAACCCAACCGTGTGAAAATTTTATATTACTAACAACCATAACTTCACCTAAATGTTTTGCTTCTTTTATAATCAATGACGTTGTTACTGTGCCTTTTTCTTCCCTCCTTTTTTTAATATATTCTAGCAGTTCCTTCTCCAATATAGGGAGTGCTACTTTACGACCGCGATCTTCAAGAACCCGCACTTTTTCTATATTTAAGTTTCTGTTATCTCTAATTTTTTCAAGCTCTTTTTTTTGCTTGCGCCATTCTTGAACACGCCTCTGGTGAATATTATAGTATAGAGAAGCTTTACGGTTAGAGGTGTTCTATGCATACGAGATTACTTCAAGCTTGAACGCGATGGTAAAACTTCATTTGGTACTTATATCCGCTTGTAAACAACTTGCGCACCAAACTGATAAGATAGCGTTACATTATATATCGTGAACATTCGTGATACAAAAAAAAAAAAAAAAAAATTTACATACAAACTGTGCCATAATCTACTTCCAGATTTTTCAAGGCTGATGCATTACTTGGTTCAATTTTTAATGACTCAGTTGAGTCTTTAAGTGGCTCTCTGTATCTTCTCATAATTCGGTAGATTGCTCCATTTTTTCTTATTAAAGGTGTATTATCAATAATAAGGCAGCATTGTAAGTAAATTATTACAAGAATAAAGAAAGTCTTGAACAAAAATTTTGTCTTTTTATGAAGTTGAACTATTTGTTTTTAAAAAAAAAGCTATTAGAGATTTGAAAAATAGCGATAGAGTTAAATACAATTTTAAAGTGAACTGTAGTATTACATAGTATCGGGTGGATTACTGAATTATGCCAAGAAAAAACTGAAAATTACGATTTTAGAAAATTTTCACAAGAAACGCCCATTATTGTTATTGTCAAATCGCCTTTCTTTTTGGATATCTGTACATAAGCCTTTTCAAACGAATTTAGTAAGTACGTATAGGATCGAGACATAACTGCATCGAATGAATCGGGTACAATGCACTGAAAAGTAAAAATAGTAGGTACTTGACTCTAATATCAGCCTTTTTTTTTTTAAATAAAAATCATCATCGTACAGTAAAACCTCTCTAAGTGCATGTACACAGGCCCAGAATTTAACGACGTGCACTTAGAGAACAATAAGGTGCATTTACAGAGGTCATGTATACATTTGGGCCAGAATCTGCGTGTGCCTTTAGAGAGGGTGTGCACTTGTAGAGTGTGCACTTAGAGAGGTTTTACTGTATTTATGCTTTATAATTGTCGTGAGTTCAAGCAAAAAATCGACCTTTCAAGAAAAGTACTAATGTCTAAAACCAAGTGCAATTCCCTTATTTAAATAAAATCAATAAATCGATAAACTTTTTGATTAACGTCATAAGGATCTGAGAAACCATTAGAACCCAGATGCAATAAAATAGCATTTTAATAAAATAAAGAAAAAATTAGAAAGGAGAAATTTTGGTAAGTAGAATTAAATAGTCCAAATCATTAAACTATATATTAATTATAGCAAACCATTCTTAGTTCCACACTTTATTTAAAAAAGACCTTCATATTCTGTCACTTTAAATCTCTTTATGCAAAATAATATAAGCTTGAAATTATGCGTGTTTTACATTCCCTATTAACAATGCTATAATAACTAAAATAGTTTTATTTTTTATAAATGAAAAATTCAGTTAAGTAAAAATATATATTTAAGCAATTTCAAAATACATTCAAAATAACTTATTCTTACTTATCTTTTAAATATAATAAAAGTTGACAGTTTAGAAATACTACTATTTATACATTTTAAACCCAACTCTACATATCTCAATATAAATTTCTATATTATAACTTTTGTCTATAGAATAATATCAAGAAACTTACCGAATTTATAAGGCTGTAAATTACAGATTATATAATGCATATAGACCTTCTATATTTATTTCAAAATAACACACATGTGCATTATTTTGAAAATCAGATTTGGTAAAAAATTAATTTATGCTTCAAATTAATGCACATGTGCGTACTCAAAATAATGTGCATATACTCAAAATAATGTGCAGATGAGCATTATTACGCGAAAATATGGTAACAATAATTGGACAATATTGGATTTAATAGATGATATTACAATTACATGGTTGGAGAATTTCTGCAAAGAAGAATGAATTGAGTTTATTAAATATATTAAAAGATAACTATTAAAATTTTTATTTTTAATATACTTTTATTTAATAACCAAATATTTTTTACAAATTTTTAGTGATTAATATACTTTCAATATTATTTTTGTATTACATATTTATAATTTGTAACTTTGTAATATTTTTGCTATAATATAACTTAAATTTTAAAATTGTTAATAATCATGTTTACAAATATGTATATATGTTGCATCTAAAGTAGTAATCTATCTAAGTAGCTTCTGGCTAAAATTAAGCCCCTAAAATTGGATCTTGCATGCATTAAGTTATAATTTTAGCTAGGGCACTACTTTAGATATATAAAATAGCTACTTTAGATAAATCACTATTTTAGATGCAACATATATATTATATATTTTATGCAAATGATATAATATTAATATTGCATAATTATAATAAAATGCAGATATAAATATGATCTTTTATTTTTTTTGATTAATTGACTATTAAAATGTTTTCTAAGCATAAACAAAAATCTTTGTATAAATGCAATTATTGTTTAGAAAAATGCAAAGATGGCTGTTGGATCCAAAAAGTAATGTATAATTCTCATTTACAACATCAGCGATATTTTAAACAGATTAATACAAAAATCGATAGATATATTAATCCATTATTATTAAATGATGATAAAAACAATAAGTATGAAACTAATTCATTCTTATTAAATTATTTATTTAAATTATTTTTTAAATTAATTGATTTT